ACACACACACACATACTGTATAACCACATATACACACATGAAAGGTAGACTCATACAATACCTTCACATTTACACACAATCTTAAAGACACAAAAACACACACAAGTCAAAGAGCTCATTCACATTCGCACACACACCCAGATATACATGTATCCTCACACACGCATATACACATGAAGGCCAGCATCACACACACTGATACAAAGACAGACAGACTGAATACAGACACACACGCAAGTACATGTGTGCATGCACTTGTTTACACATCACAAACACAAAAACAAAACTATGTACAAGCAGACACGCACTGAACATACACACAAAAAACAACACACACACATACACATACATACATATAAACATAAAAGACAGCATTGCAAACTCAGGTACAGACACAACAAATGACTAAGTGAACATGAACACACACATCGAAACACACCAAGGGCACACACACTCATTCACACAAAGAACACACACACAGTGCTTCTTTAACCACATAAATACACGTACATACAGAAGCTTACATCACACACTCAGATACTGACACAGTATCCTGCCACAGAAACGCACGTACACACAGAGAAGCTTGCTTCACAAATTCATACACAGATCCAATAGTCATTAAAACACACACAGTCACATGAAGATACCCACAAAAACACATATTCATGCACACAAGCACCAACACAACTGTACATGGACCTATATAAACATATATGTAAGTGCAAGGCCACATTTACTCAAAAAACACACACATCTGATTGCTAGATCACTGTGGTTTTTCTGTGTGTGTGTGTGTGTGTGTGTGTGTGTGTGTGTGTGTGTGTGTGTGTGTGTGTGTGTGTGTGTGTGTGTGCGTGTGTGTGTGTGTGTGTCGGCAGATTAATCTAGTGGGGTCGCTGAGATGACACTAATCCCTTCGCTGATTATCTAGAGCATAACATCACTCTAATCTGATGGTGGGGGGGTTAAGAAAGACAGACAAGGTTAGAGAGGGGGAGAGAAAGAGAGAGAGAGAGAGGCTGCGTTCACACTCAACGTGTTCAGGTTGGTTCATTAAACTCTGCAGTGTTTCTTTCTTCTTTTACTTTGAGTTCATTTCAGGTGAGAATCCCAAGTCTCAAACCTACAAGAGAAAAGGGCTTCAAGGATAACATAACTCATTGGTTTGACAAATGTTTGTTTTGTTAATTTCTCCCACCCAGTAGGTCTGATAGTCCCAAATAGAGCTAGTTTCACCATAGCAAACACTTTAACCACGAAGCAAGCACACAGCCATCACCCAGATCACAGTCTAATTTGTCCCACCACAGTTTCACAATGAACCAAAAAATGTTTTACTTTTCTCTCTAACACTGTGTGTTGTGCCGTTGCTTCAACAAAGCATCTCTCACTCACAGTATCAGCAATCACTTAACTAGAGGACAATCTCCCACACCCTTGGGTGACTTACAAATATATAAATCGTGCAGAAAACGCCTATCAAGAGCTAGTGTTTGGTTCATGAATATATTCCATACTACAAAATATACTGCTGAAGAAAGTCAACAATGACACATACGGGTAGCTAGAGAAGCAGAAAGAGGTGGTGTGTGTGTGGGAGAGACACAGACCAGAGTAGGTGTGTGCGTCTGAGGAACAGAGTACTGAAGGGAAAACCAAGGTGAGCAGATGAAAGTAGTTTGTGAGTTGAGTAGCGAATTAAGTTAATAAGAGAATAACGTATCCTGCAAGAAAAGGGGCAGCCTGGTGCAGCCTAATGTCCCTTAGCATCATAAAGCAATACCTACGCAATTTTGGAACCAATCAGCTATTGTCTAATGGTGATTTAGCCTCTGGGGGCAACAGGCAATGTTTCGGGGGCTTCTGGTGCAAATTAGCAAATTTTGGCTAACCTCTATAAACATATATCTATATATAAATGCAGATAAATGATTACAGTGAATAAAAAGCTAAACTGACATCAGACAATAGCCAACGCGTTCCGAGATTGCATTTTGCCCAATACATTCCACCTTTTTAGTTTTGACTGTTTACCTGCATGCAACCAAAGCACACTCAAATTTGACCAGTCAATACTACTCGGACTACGTACAGAAACCAGAACGCTTCCGACGCCAAAATGACTGTAGAATCCGTAAGCAAAGGGACCCATGCTTACAGATTCGGCACTCACACACAGATATCTGTTGACATGTGGAAATTAACCATTTAGCAACCCTCTAGCAACACTTTAACAATGACCAATAATGGTCTGGCAACTACTGTACCCTGAAAACCTTTTTTTCAACCACCTTGCAACATCATAGTGAGGACCACCTTGTAATGCCTTAGCAACGATCTACCAACTAACTCAAGCAACTGGTCCAAGCAACTGGTCCAACATTTGTGGAAAGAAGTAGTCTTGTTGCTCTTTCGCACTTAGAACTGGGCGATACGTCATCACTGATATTAATGAAGGCTCTGTGGTTTTGTATCGATACTGAAACACTACGTTTCCCATAAGGACATGCAAAAAAGAGACAGAAAAGCCAACTGACATAAGAGACAGTCTGATTTACCCAGATCAGAACAGTCACAGGTATAAAGTGAAGAGGATGTTTTCTACAATAGTGTTAGCAATGGTGAAACTGTGTGTGTGCGTGTGTCTGTGTGTTCCATATCCCTAGCTGTCTCTGTCTCTTAGCGTTATCATTATCAAAGTAAATTGCAGCTCCCGTGTGCCAGATGAAGAATACAATATTTCCATTTCTGACTCTGCGTCGTCTCTTCCCTCTCTGCCTCTGCAGCTACATACCATAATCACAACACTGTCACAACACATCGCACACACAATGGATCATTCTAGCAAAGAACCCAAAACCCAAAGTTTTTCATTTTTTCATTTATTTTATGTCTTTTGTTAGTGTGCATCCACAACTAACTGGACTATCTTAGGAATTAGCAATTTTCTTGTAATTATAAAAAATATATATTTATTTTATTAAAATTTTCATTCATTCATTTTCATTTTGTTTCAGTTGATTAAAGAAACAATGGGATACTTTTGTTTGAATACACAAATTTAATCTTAACAGACCAATACAAAGTTTTATTAGGAAAATAATAGTTACAACAAACTGTGTGAGGGATTTGTGTTTATTATGGTTTGTGGCAAATTATAAGCCATGAGCAAATAGATTGTAGTTTTGGAGATACGGATAAAAAAAACTTTGGTCTGTTTTCATGGTTTGGTCCAGACCGCTTTGTTCCAGTGATGGGAAATCTGCTAGCTTAGGGAAGTTAGGGAAGAAAAAAGCCAGATTTTCCCCCCAGTTTGACATCGAAGAACTTGACCGGCCGGCACAGACCCCTGACCTCGACCCCATGCTCTTGTGGATGAATACGAGCAAATCCCTGCAGCCAGACTCTGAAGTCTTTTACAAAGCCTTCCCTGAAGACCAAAGGTTTTTTAAAGCAGCATATTATGCCCATAGTTATGGAGTGACATGTTCAGCAATCAAAGATAAGTGTTAAGGTGTCATCAAACCTTTGATTAGGTGTCTGTATATTTTGGTCATATAATATATATACAATTGGGGTGGTAAGATTCGTCATTAAAGGTCAAGATGCGATCCCGATTAAAAAAGAGTGCATCAGATACAATTTGGGCTGCATCGTTTCTAACATCTTTGCATCGGTAAAATCTGGTTTATTTATATATAATTATCATTAGTAGAGGCCCTATGCCTTTATTATTGAAAAATGTAACACGTTTTTTATCCTCTCTGAACTCTGAACTCAAGCTCCTTAAGAAGACTAAAGAAATAAAAAATGTACGGTCTATGAGTGCAACAGACGACTTGAAGTAGTTTGCCTTTTAAACCAGCAGAGGGCGCTCCACTAGCAGATTGACCTATGACATGCCCTATTGACCTGTCAGTAAGCTAAACTAAAAGTAAATGTTTACTACGAAAACAGAGGACACTATCATACAAAGCATGGAGCAAGTGAACAACCTCGTCTGACTTATATTTTTTTCAAATTCATTCCAACAAATTGCTTGTCATTTGTTTGAACGTGAGTATTGGTGACAGCCCAATTGCTTAGCATCATATTCCTTAGCATCATATCGCGTTGAATTACATTACGTTGAATCCAATTGGTTTGAACCGTACTGCACCGCAATAGAGGCGAATCTTATTGCATTGGCATCTGTATCGTGGATGTATTGGATTGTTGGCACTGCATTGAGATGTGTATCACATCAGCCTCAGTGATGGAGATACACATGACTAATATAGAGGTATAGTCCCATGGTGTTGGTAGTCTTTGCATCTCTTTTACAAACACACACACGTAAAATACCGTACAACCCAAAAAAAATCTGTCAAACACACTTGCGTCAACTGTTTGTGGTTTCAAAATGGAAGACTCAAGATGTAATGTTACACAAGAGAAAGAGTGAGCACACTATAAACTATAAAACTATAAAAAAGAGAGAGAGAGTGAGAGAGAGAGACAGAGAAAGAGCAGGTAGAGTCAGATAGCTGAGAGATGACATCTTCCATATTTGATGCATCCAGTCAAAGGTAATTAAGCTCTGTATGTGTGTGCGTGTGCGCGTGTGTGTGTGTGTGTGCGAGTGAGTGAGTGAGAGAGGCAGATTATCTGTGTCAGTGGCCATTTGCTCACAACTGGCGCCACTTCGGAGAGAGCCAGAGGCAGAGAGCATCATGGGTAAATGAGCACACACTGCCTAGCGTTTTCCACACAGCAGGCCGAGAGAGAGAGAGAGAGAGAGAGAGAGAGAGAAAAATTGCATGCCAGATGACCTGTCTCCTCCAGTGTACGATAGTGTTTCACTAATTCTCTGCACCCACACACACACACACACACACACATATACACACACACACTGTCAGATCAAACCCAACATAGCAGTGGATCCAAAGTAGATGGAAAGAAAGGAGTGCACTGTAAAATAATAACAACACACACACACACGGCCTGTGGCGTACCTGCTAGCCTGGAGTTGGCGTACGGCGGTGAGAGACTGTCATGTGATGCCATGTACTGAGATCCATCTGCATAACTCTGGAGAAAGACACAGACATGTGGGGTGAACAGCTATATTTCATTATTATATGTAGTTGTCATTACTTCTAACAGCAAATACTTGTGATAGTAGTAATAATCAGATTGGCAGAGGCAACAGTAGCACTCTCTGTAGTCAACGTACCAATAGTAGTACTAGAAGTAGCAGAGACACTGCTGGATGGCCTCATCTGAGTCTTTTGATACTAATAATCAGTTTCATATTTATATTTTCCTTATATTTTCCTGTATTTTATAATACAGCTGATACAGCAGAGTACACTAATAGTTTGACATTTTTATAATAAGTTGGTTTTCTTTGTTGCCAAGAGATGAGAAGATTGATGCCACTCTCACATTGCTGCGCTAATGACGTCAGTTAGGACGTCAAATATCAAGGCTGGGAATGAGACTCAACTATCCAGTATCTTCAAGCTACCAGCCCAAACCGTCTTTCTGTGTTTCTCTGCTCTGATTGTTTTTTTTTTTTATTCAGGCCCGGTGGATTCTTGCAAATGCCATTAGGAGAACTAGGAGGAGCCAGAGGAACATTTTTTTCTCCACAGATTATCTGTCTCATGTACTACTGTCAGGATATAGCCGCCAGTCGAACCTCAAATGGTGAAAACAATACAGTAAACAGGATGGACTTTTGCATCAACCTTTTCTAATGCAATATAATGCGCACCAAAATACGTTGATGGAAACAGCTTAGGTCAGTAACATGTCAGTACATCCCTAGTGCATTAGTTATAGCAGTAGTAGTTCTTATGGAAGTAATGTTGCAATGTTAAAAATATATTTAAAAAAAAATGTATTTGACAGCAATTAAAGTAAATAAGTAAATAATTAAAGTAAATAATTATAAGTAGTAGCATTGTTGTTAGTAGTTACCTTGGAAGAACGACTTCCACTCGCCCATGACCCTGCACTCGTTCTCTCCTCCATATCTGTATGAGAGAGGGAGAGAGAAAGACAGATTTAGACGATAGAAAACAAAGCATAACATTGCACTGAAGTTTAGGAAAGTAAGAGTTGATAATCCGGGAGGAAAAATACAGTTTGGGAAAATAAATGACCCAGAAAATCCAATCCCTTCATGTGCCTCGGTGAGTTTAAATGGAGGTGGAAAATATAAAAAACAGCAACAGTCAGCAAAATACTGTCATCACCATGACTGAAAATAAAACCAACAAGTAGAAAAATTATATATCCAAAAAGTAAAGTAAGTAAACAGAAAGTCATTTTAAATTCATAAAAAAAAAATTTGACAATACAAATATCTATGCTACATGTGATGTTTGATGAACAGTGGCTCCCATCATTTTTTGTTAAACATATCCCCTCAACCTAGTCTGATGAACTCAAGTAACCCTTCTTTAACATCAACAGATATGTTCCAAATGTGTTGAACAAATTTCAAACTGGGTGTTATAACTATTAATCACATTGTGGATGTTACAGTATTTCCATACAAATGTAATGTCTAGTTTAGTTAGGTCAAGTTTGCATTCGTATTACAACCACATGGAGTGGCAAAGGCTGTGTGTTCCAACCATTTATCCCGTACTTTTAGCTACCCATTTTATCTCCTCTGCTCACTTGCTAGCTAGTTTTCATTAATTAATTCATTAATTGTTTTAGCAATATGTGGATGTATTTTTTTTAATGAAATTGTTAGTTCAGTTTTTTCAAATTAGTCCAGCTACTCGACATTCTCTCCAAGTACCGCCTGGCAACAGCAGAAGTACCCCGAGCGGTACAAGTACCCCTGGTTGGGACTCACTGTTTTAAACAACTGTTTTCAGTTAACATTTATTCAGGAGCTGCTATAGTCAACATCAGTCCTCAGATCGACATTTTAATCACTCGCATAATCATGTGAGCGATCATCACTTTCATCACATCACTTTCAACACTTAATACTACATATAATATTACTGTACAGTCTATAATCAACTACAGCGGCGTATATCATTCACTCTCCATGTCATTAAACATTATTGATTATGATTGTAAGGCCTTTAATGTGTCTCAATGAAATTTAATGGTCCTTTAAGCCTCCTGTAGACCACTAATCCCCTCTATCATCACTGGATCCATGATGTTATATCTGCCAAAGGTCAGTCTGCTGACTGAGAGGTCACAGGTGATCTGATAATGGTGCAATAGATGGAAAGTCAGTGGATCAAGTTATTACAGTTCATCCTGTGGTGAATGTAAACGTATGTACCAAAATGTATCCATCAAAATGTTAAGATATTTCACTAAAAAACAAAAATGTCATCCTTTTGATGGCGCTAGGTGACAGTCGGAGTCAGGGGAATACGAAAGTCAGTAGAATTCATCTTCTGAGGACAGTGAATGTCTATACAAAATTCATGGCAATCCACCAATCAAATAGTTGTTCAAATATTTCAATCTGGACCAAAGTTGTGTATCGGCTGACAAAATAACCACAAATTACATTAGATTAACAAACAGAATAATATAGTTCACCACTGTCTTACAACCAGGGTACAAAATATAAAATGTGTGACTTAACATAGGAGCCAGTGATTTATATCCCATCTCCCATCAACAACGATGACCATGCTTTTCCTAACCAAAACCATGAAAAACTTTGTAATAGAACATGTAATAGCCATTTGACACTGACAAATAGTCTGTTTTGTTGTTTAAATATGAGGCCTTAGTTGGAAAAGACAGACGTACAGAGGTTGAGAGACACTGACGAGAGAGGGAAGGATGTATTTTGTACATGACAGGTAAATCAGTTCATTCAGGTTGACTGAAATGTGCAAACACAGCTCTCACTTACAGTACACACACACACACACACACAAACACATGCACTCACAGTTGTCTCATGCATTGTAGTGCACAAATCTCTCCTCAATAGGCCCTCTATTGTGTCAGCGTGTGTATAGTGAGCAGCTTACATTCATTGTCGAGTCATTTGGAATGTCAGCTTATCTGTGTTTGAGTGCGTGATTGTGTGATTTTGTTAGCCCAATAGAAATGAACTGGTTTAGCTACAAAAAGCCTTTTGGAGTCACACCAAAAGGCGCTACCTCAACAAAAGTATGTTTGGGTTTGTAGAAAAGAATAGAATTTATGGGTTTAGTGAAGATTACGCAAAAAACACTTGATGGTAAATTGGATTTAGGGAACATACACTTGATCAGAGTCGTTTTGGTTGAGGGAATGGATGTTCAATGATCAAGAGGATTTTTCTAAACAACTGATAGACACATGGGTTTAGGGAACACAAACTAATTTAAATTTAGGAAACATAAAATAGATGTGGAAACATTAGATAGATTTAGGGACCAAGCAGATTTAGAGAATACATGATATAATTAGCTTGATTTAGGAAACGGGACACACACAACGATTGGCTGGATTTAGGAATACACACTTCAATAGTTAGGCAACAGGCATCATCACATGAATTTAACAAAAAACATTTCTGTCAGGATATGGGGAACTGGATTGGTTTGATTTAGGGAACCCACTTGATCATTCAGATTTAGGGAACACTATTGATCAGATGGATTTAGGAAACACATGCTGGATCGGCTGGATTTACAGAACGCACAATTGATTGTTTGGTTTTAGGGAACACACACACTTAATCTGTTGGAATCAGGGAACACAGACTTGATCTGTTGGATTGTGGGAACATACACCAGATTATCATGATTTAGGGAACACATATTTGACCATTCAGGTTTAAGGAACACACAATCAGTTGAATTATGGGAAAACACACATAATTGGTTGGACTTCAGGATTAGACACTTGATCAAATAAACAAACATCATTAAACACAGACTTGATTGTTTGAATTAAGGGAACACACACTGGAGGGATTGGGTAGGCTATAGGGAACACACGCCTGATCAGATGTTTTTAGGGAACAAGTAAAGAATCCCTATCAAATGTTTGAAATTGTCTTTCAAGCTGATATACTTCATTTTTTACACTTTAGCAACATATATTGTCATGTAAATAAAGTTTGTTTTGAAACAGGTTAGGAGAAGACAGGGGAGGGAAATTCAATGAAAGTAGAGCAGGAGAGTTTGATGATAGCTGGTCCAGATGCAGGAGAACTGGAGGTGAAGATGGAGAGGATGAGGAGGGCAGCAATTAAAGAAAGCATCCTTTAGTATTGAATAATAAGATAGGGGAAAAGATTGGAAGAGAGAGAGGAAAGGAAGAGGGGGAAAGAAAAATACAAGTTGGTGTGCAAGAGTTGAAAGACGTGGAGGAGGAGCAGAGAAGGAGGAGAGAAGGAGGCATCCATGTGTCCTGCACCTGATAAGGCCTCCGATTGAGGGCTATAAATTACACCAGAGAGAGAGAGAGAGAGAGAGAGAGAATTTACACACAAGCAGGAAAACACACACATAAATGCACACATACATACCTCTCTCTCTCTCTCTCTCTCTCTCTCTCTCTCTCTCTCTCTCTCTCTCTCTCTCACCTACACACACACACACACACACACACACACACACACACGCAAGGTTCAGGTCATCTATCATCAGTTAATGAACTTAGACTGACAGACAGCTCCATGTCTCTCACACTGATCCTATTAAGACCTGCTTGACACAAAACAGACTCCTATTAATACAGTTAGCGTGTGTGTGTATAGTGCATAGTTGTGTTTGTGTGCGCATGTGTGTGCGTGTGAGATCACTGAGGACAAAAACAGGCCTGTACCCTATATGACCATTGACCAGCTCTTTGTACTATTTCTTGTACTAAATTAGATAAAATGATCTGTTGTGTGTGAAGGCCAGTCAAGCTTATATAATATTTTAAATATATATTTTATTTTATATTTGGTCCAGAACACTGTGACACCTGTAGCTTCACTCAGTTGGTCAAACCCCAAAGAGATAATATTATCAGGTGTCACAAAGACAAGATGACACGGTTACACTTTCACTGTGTAGCCAGCTGATATCCTGAAAAAAAATAACAGACATCCGACAAGACTTTCTCTGGAGTGCGATTAGCAACTTGTTACTCAAGAATGACGAGAAAGACACATTCTTGCTAAACAGCATATGTATATTAATTTAGCAAAAAGCTAATAAAAAGCCAAGAATTCGGACAATAGCTGATGGGTTCCAAGATTGGGCCAGGCAATATGATGCATATCACGATAAAGGGGTTACGATTCAATATATCGCTATATATTGCAATACTGTAAGGCGATACATTGTGATTTTTGAAAATGAAATTTTAGAAAAATGAAAGAGTAAAATAAAGTAAAAAATCTGCAACCAGAACAGTGAGATCTGCATTTGTACTGATCACAGTCCCTGTAACATACAACATCTTAGCCCTCAGTTTATGTTTACAACACTGCTATGTAGCTGTTAGGGATTTAAACATTCAAAATCGATACAGTATTTTTGAAAATCGATCCTTTCCAAGACTGCACTGCAGTCAGTGTGGTCCGCCTCTTTTGCTCTCCACACCGACTGTTTACCTGCATGCAACCAAAGCTCACTGAAACATGATTGGGCAATACTACTCAGACTACAAACGGAAACCAGAACACTTCCTATGCCAAAATCTTGGTCCCTTGCCTACAGATTCTTGCAGATATCTGTTTATACAGATCTGTTTACAGATTATATATATGTAGTCCTGCTATAAAACAATTATGTATCGGCAATAGACAGTTCATCAATAGCAATTCGAAAATTGTTCAATAGAATAACGATAGTTTCACTTAAATGCCATTAAAGCACATAACAAATACGCCCTGGCTCATAAACAGCCTATCATATCCCTTGATAATGAAATGTGAATGAGTGAATCACCATAGCCACCTCCACCCTTTGGAGGATGCAACCTGTCAGTCACAACCTATGAAACAATCCACGGGCAGTCCACGATGGAAAGGCACTCAGTAATAATACCATAC